TTGCAATAATAATATCTGTAATTACAGAAAAAGGCTGGACAAAACACTTGAATCACCTGTCTTGACAGATGATGTAATGCTCAAAACCCTTGTCAAGAATCAAATTCTTCAGACATCCCATGTTCAATTTCAAGGTTGTTATTTGTTTTCAAGGATTGTTTGAATTTACTGTCTTTTACTCTTTATAAGCATTGGTTTTATTTGTAAATATTGAACAATTCTTTGTTACTAGGAATTGAAAATGTGGTGGAAAAGAGAACTAGAGAGCTGTCTAATTTCCTCGGTATGTTGAGGAGTGCCTCGGTAGATGGCTCCGGGAGGTCGAGATCCGGTGAGGAGCAGAACACCGGATGGAAGGTGTGCTCCCGATCGAGTCCCTTGTCGCCCGCTACATTTCGCATTTTTTTTTTCCACAAAGTTTTGTCGAAAGTCGAAACTTAAATGTGGATAGTAGTTAATCTTTCGGCAAAAATGCATTTTCAGTACTGTTGGTTTCACGCTATATCAATTTTAGTCCCAAGATTTTGACTTTTTTGATCATGTGATTTAATATTTTGCTGCAAAGGTTACGACTTTTCACATTTTGAGAACTGAAATTGCAAAAAAAGAAAAAAAGGATTAATTTATAAGACTTAAACTTGCTAGTAAATACTAAATTGCAATTTCGGTCATCAAAAGATTAAAATTAGCAAAATAAAAAATCATAGAACCAAAACGAAATGTTAGAATTTTGAGACTAAAATTGCTATGACGTTAGACGACAGGATTAAAAATGCAATTTAGTTTAATCTTTCAAAATATATGTATATGTGATTTAAGTAACTATACACTTTTTTTTTTAGATAAAACAAGACACTAAAGAAATTCGGGTCATGTACCGAGAAGGGCCGGAGGGCACCCCTTTTCACACACTTCTTGCCGAAGGATATGTTGACGGGCCACTCGATGTCTGTAAGTCTAAACTATTTAAAAGCAACTATAGAAAAAAAAAAATTAAAAAAAAAAAATTGAACATTACTTTCTGAATAAATTTTGATATATGTAACAGGTATGTGTATTTCATGGGAGTCTGCCCTGTATAAGAAATGGTAAAGAGTTTCTTTTAATTCTGTACAAGTTACACACATATATATATATATGCAAATTTAAAATAGAAAAATACTAGTTTTACTTCCTTTTTTTCCCAGGTGGCCTCAAATCGCAATCCCGACGTTCAGAGTCGTGTCGTCAAAATGTTTACAAAGAGTTCGAGTTGGCGAACAAATATCTTTAGTAAAGTATGCTTGCCTGGCTTGTATATTAGTTATTAGTTTACTGCTTTACTCTATATATAACATGAATAAATGAATAAACCATGATGTTTTTATTTTTTGAGTGATGATATTTTCATGGTTGTTTGTAAGAAAGGATGAAGCTTTCGTGGCCGTTGTCGAGCAGAGAGGCATTGGTACATTATTTCGCGTTCGAATATTTTCAAGATGGCCTAATGGTGGTCCTCCTAAACTCGGTAAAACTAGTGTTTTTACAAATGTTATTTTTGTTACCCAATTGTCTTAGAAATTGAAAACCGAAAAAAAAAGAAAAAATTAATATATGTGTTTTCAGATTTCAGACTCGGATACTATTGATGGAATTAGTCATGGATTCACGAGGGATGGAATTCCGGAGCCGGAAGAAGTAGTTAGAATTGATGTGGTCGGAGGTTTTGCTTTGCAGAAGGTGAATGATAACCGGAGTTACTTCCGGTGAGTGTTTTATTGGCAAAAATGCATTTTAGTTAGGTTGATGCCGTAACAATTTTAGTCTCAAGATTCTAACTTTTTGTCTTTTGGTCATGTTATTTAAAATTTTGCTGCAATTTCATTGTTTTGATGATTGATATTGCAAAAAAGTTTTAAATATGTCATGGCGAAATAGTAGAACCTTGGGACTAAATATGTTATGGCGTTAAACAAGTAGAACCAAAAATACACTTTTGCATGTTTTATTTTTCTTCTTTTCAAGTCTTTGTTTTATGGCTACATATCTGCATTTAGTTCGTATATATATTTCTTTTCTTTTAAGTCTTTGTTTTATCGCTATATATCTGCATTTAGTTTCTACATATTTGTGGTAAGGCTATATACGAGTCGAGCAGAGTGAAGATACACATTTACTTCTAGCTACGCTTGGAAAGAAATATTTTTCTAGGTTCTATGGATTTTTCTTTATACCGTATTGCGCTTGATATTTTTCGAGTGTGCTCTCATTGTTTTTTCATGTTCATTTTTGTAAGGACGATAGCAAACATGGATATCAAGCTCGACTTTGTGCCGCCATCATTCATCAATTTCGTCTCTAGGCAACTCATAGGAAGTGGCTTCAATCTCTATAAAAAGGTTAGTAATAATTTACCTAATTTAAACAAGTCTTTTGGTTCAATGTATATAAACCACTTGATGTTACTCCCAAAAATATTACAGGCAGTTGCTTCAGTTGTTTCTAAAGGTGACAAAGAATATCGCGAGGCTTTGGAAGGCCCGCTTTACAAACAAATGCGCGGATCTCTCTATTCAGGAAATTCTACCGAGGCCCAAAATCTGGAAAGTCCAAAAAGAATGAAGTCGCCTGAGGTTGAATTCAAGCACGTGAACGAAATCGAGTATTCCAAAGAAGACGATGCAGAAGGACACGAATCATTATTAGACGATCGTGCCAAGAAAAAGTCTGTAAGGTTTTCAACGGATGATCAAATTACTGAAGATTTTACAGCAGATGAAAAGGAAACTATTAATGGAACATATAACAACACTACGGAAAATTACGAACCCTGGATTATGGAAAATGTTGCTATAGTTAGTCCAAAGGTGAAACAAGCTCTTGACACATTGGAAAAGGCAATTTCGCTATTTCATGAACCCGGTCGAGTGAGTGAAAATTCCGAATCAGGGGAAAATCGAATTCTCGAGCCAAGAATCATCTCGGATGGTCTTGCTTCCAGGTGAACTATTTTAATTTTTTCTTTTTAGATTAAGGAAATATCGGTGGTTGTACTCTTGGTCGTCAGTTATTTTGGTTAGAAATTCATTAATTCGACCCGAAATGTATATAATTTCCAGGCATATGGATTCTAGTTCTTACACTAGAGAAGTTAATCAAAGCGAGATTATGCCGGCATCACCAAATGAACGAGGACCAAGTCCATCTAGCTCGAAGCACGTTTTTGGTTCTCTCGCGAATCGTAAAAAATGGCGCCATAATCTTGAAGGATTGGGCAAATTAAGGATTGTATCCAAGATGACTAGAAAAGATTGAAAATCGAGGTTTCGATGTCAATTCGTGCTTTTTGTGTCGTGTTATGTAAAGATGATGCATGAAGTGGTATATATAAGATGTTGTCATTACTGAGAAATTGCAATTGTAAATGTTTGTGTCAATATGGAAGAATTTGTTAGCGTCATTACTGAGATAAATAAAATACCTTTATGTGTTACATGAATCGCTCGTGACTTTGACTTGTTAAGACTTGTATTTGGTTCAATTCATTTAATAAGTGAGCAGAATTCGAGTTCATTTAACAATTTGCTTAGTCAACTAACTCGAACCGAATAGTTAATGTTTCAAGAATTATGTATTTTTACGTAGTTTTATAAATTATTATCAATATTAAATCTCTAAATTTATTAATTTGAATAAACGAGTAGAGCTTAAACTCATTAACTGAGCTCATTTATATGAATCAAGCTGTTCGTGGATTCAACTTGTTATCGCTTGAATTGGGTTCAATTGCTTTGAAAAATGTCGAGCTCATTTAACAATTTGCTTCGTCTACTAAACCAACTCGAATGATTAAATTTCAAGATATAGATACTTTTATGTAGATTTTTTAAATTACTTATTATGCTAAATATCAAATTTGTTAATTTATTAATTTTTAATAAACGAGTCGAGCTTAAATTCGATAACCGACTCGAACGAGTCGATTTCCATAAAGTTCGTTAACAACTTTATTAAAGGCGGTTTGTAGATTGCCATTACGAAATTCGCAAACTCACAGAACTTTCTACAGAGATCGGAAAATATCACCGTCTACAATGGGCTGGCTGTGGAAAAACGACGAAACTGACAACGTATCGTCTTCCTCCGGCGACCACGGCGGCGACCACCGCGCCACCAGGAAGGTGGTGTCCTCCCAGTGCCGCACGGAGGAGGTGGAGCCTGGGAAATTCGTCCGCAAGTGCGAGAAGACGGAGCAGATCTTCAAGGACTGCATCGGAAGGTAAATTTAGCGGTGTTAATTTGAATCGGTGCTGTTCGGAATCGTATTTTCGCTTTGTGCTGTTATCTCCTTTGGGTTCAATTTCTGTAGCTGATACTGTAAATTGATTATGCGAAATTGATGGTTGATACTGTAAATTGAGTATGTTGTTCATTTTCAGCTTTGTCTTGTATTCAATTTCTGGAGTTGTGTATGAAAAATTGATGATAGATATTGTAAATTGAGTATGTTGTTCATGATCAGCTTTGTCTTCCAGATGGAGGGTTTCTTTTAGTTTTTTTTTATCCTTTTTTTTTTTGGATTTTGCCTTTGTGAATGGGTACAATCGATCCACATACACGTTTATCGATATGAATCTGCTTGAAAATGATGCAAAATGCACTGACTTTCGGGGGGAAGCAATGTAGAATTGTTTGTGTTTTTTCCATGTGTTGGTGCTTTTTGTTGGCTAAAATGTAGTTCAGGTTTTGAGTGAGAAGTTTAGGGTAGCTGGAGATGAGGATGATAAGCTTTGAACAGATAAGTGAGGAAATATTTTAACAAATAGGGGACAAGTTGGAGTTTAGGATGGTAGTGAAAAGTAGTGATCAAAGCTAGTGACATTTGTGAACATGAAGGTTAAACTTCTGTAAGAACATGTATCATCCTATACTCTGGCAGGTTAAATTTCATCCTACCTAGTGCCCTCACCGGATTCCGAGCCATTAGGTCAAGTGTGTGTGTGTGTGTGTGTGTGTGTGTGATTGAACAGTTTAGAACCAGTGCCCATACCGGGAGGGTCGAATTAGCTTACTCGGCAGATTCTGAGTTTTTAAGCTGAAGATATGATTTGCAGAATGGGAGGACCGAAATCTTCCCAGTCCTTTGCATCTGAGTCACTTTTCTAGCTAAAATGCTGAGCTAGAGCAACACGAATTGATCTTCTTTTTCTTAAACAAAAAGCTTGACAGTTGAAAAAGTCGGTAGTCTGTTGAAATTAGTGAAGTGAATCACATCACATAAATTTTTGTCGAAGAGGATCTACACACCACACTTTGTTAACAACGAGTTGTATGTGCGGAGTCTCAAATGTCCAGATTCCAATAAATCTTGTTTGTTTGACTTAATAGTTGTTTTCAGAGGTCTGAGCAAATAATCATCGTTCTTTACATTTTTTCTTTCTTAAATTTAGGCCAAGTGAGATGGTACAATCTACCAAAGAATACACTGAAGAGGATGTGACAGAACAAATGACCAAAGGCCCATTCCCTTCAGAGTCTTATTTCCCAGGGCTGCGTCGTGACATTGAAGGGATCGAGCAAGACTTGTTCGGAGGCATGACCCGTTTTTTCGAGGCAGCCGAGGATTTGAAGAACGAGTTCTTCAGCTCGATTGGTGTACCAAACCGCCCATCGTCTGGCGAGCGTGGGATTCACGTCGAGGGTTCCCCTCAACCGGAAGCTCTTCCAAGTAATGATAGTGGCGTCGATGGAGATGTCGATCTCTCTAGTTTGGCGAGAGATGTTTGAATCGAATTGAATTTTGGATTTCAGTTACAATTTATGCTTGTATAGAATGAAAACCGGGCCGATTTTCGATCGTGCCTTTGTAAATCGCTGGACGGTGCTAGATTGTGATCTTTTGCATGGTTTGATATGGAACCCTCTCTCATTCTATTAGATGCTTGTTTTTGAGCACCTCTAAAAATATTCATTTTAAGATTCTCCTAAACATCTATTATTCGAAAACAAATTCTTGTATGAGTC